ATCCTGTGCCTCCTGTTTAGGCGGGAGCACGACGGGTATGTCTATACAAAGGAATTTGAAGAGCACAAACATTCTCAGTGAAGCTGAAGGGTGTGTGGACCGATGATTTCGATCAAGAATGGCTTGGAATTCAACTTGGAGTTTCGAGTTCGGACGGGTTTGGTGTTGTGTCCGTGTGATGTGAAATCTTCAATGATCAGTTCTTCTGGACCTTGTGACTGTACCCTTTAATGCCTGTAAGATAAAATGTGGGAAATTGTAAGATTTCTGGTCTGAATGCACAATCATAGCTCATATCTCGTATTCCTCTTGTATGTTTATGCAGATCTCAAAGTTAAGGCACTAAATCAAGTTGATCATATGTCAGAAACAATCGCAGTATCACCAAAAGCTCTGTCGCTCGCATGCGCACCTTACATTGATGATCGCTGATGGCCAAATTGGCCACCTGCATCATTTACGAGAAAGAGTCTTGATTCTTTTCCTATATCTCCAAACTCAAGAGGAGGACTTAAACAACTGCTTGAGCTCATATGGTTCATGGCATTGATTCCATGGATTCTTCTTTCACAGTTTTGTATTCACAGTCCATCATCTTCAAAGTGGGCATCGACATGCCCATGATGCTCCAATGATTCAATGTCTGGTTGGAGGCAATGCATGTCTCGAGCTGGCCTGCCCAGTTGGCGACTGCGAATTACAAGCGTCCACGTGAATATGCTTCCAAGGTTGAGCTGCAACATCGCAAGCATGTGTTCCCGTCAATAATTGCCTGCAAACGTGGAGGAATATTCTCCGCGGCACATTGCAGCAAATCTCATCTGATGTATCTTATAAGTGTGCGCACGACAGAGAGAGAGAGTAGGCATCATCACGGGTCTTGCAAATTATATTCTGAGTTTGAGTTGACGTTAATCCATCGACATGGACCAAATTCATCTCTCTATCTTATGATTGAAGCTAGGATGACCGTGTCGAATTAATGAATTCGTGACACAACAACCTTTCTATTCATTCGATCTTCAGAATTCGGCTCCCCTATCATAAGCACGTCCACTCGATCACATCTATATCCATCCGGATGTCCCGAAACTGCAAGGCAAAGCAGCCTAAATGAAAACAACGACAAAAACACGTCTTTTCCCATTCGAACCGAATCTCGGACACTATTTGATTAGGTTCTTTCTGCCGAATCAAACAGGCTGCAACAGATCATAAGACAAGCAAAACACGTTTGATGAAACAGCAGCACGAAGTGCTGGCCATTATAAGACAGGAGGATTATGGATAAAAACAAGGGGAGCATGCTTCTTATCTCAAAGAAGCCCCATCTCCACCTCACCTTTGCTTCATCTTCAAACCAAAATTCATAGACAAATCAATAAAAAAAGGGTTAATACCGTGAAAACTCCAAACTTGTATATCTGTAATAAATTTATTCAAAATTAATTTTTTGACTATCAAAAGCCATAAATCAGTACACCTGTGACAAATTTTACCCAAACTAAGTTTTTTACCACTAAAAATCTTAAATTAATACATTTGTGAAAAATTTACCCTCCGTTAACTTTTGTTAAATTGGATTAATATCACATAAAACCCCAAACTGGTATACCCATTAATTGTCACGTGTCATCCAACTCAGTAATTTGATAGTAAAATTTAACGAAAATTAACAAAGGTTAAATTTATCATAAATGTATTAATTTGATATTTTTTTTCATATTAATTATTGAAAAAAAAGGAAGCGATTTTTTTTTTTGGTGTACATTGAGGATTAGATGGAGCAAAGATCCTTGAGTCGCTTTCACTTTATCCATCACAGCTGTCCTAACACCTCTGATTAGATTCTGAGCATCATTAGCCCGTGATTTTTGTATTGCCTCTTGCCATCATTTTGCCTCGGTTCTTTCGACACCTTGTCCCGGATTTTGAAGAAGAAGATCTTTCGTGGTGGCATCTTGCCATTTTCTATACATTTTGCACACATCTTTTTCATTCGTGATCTTATCTCGTGAGTACAATGAAAATGATAATCAAAGGGTTAATGAAGGGTTGCGATTCGGACAAGTGACAGCTCGATCAAATTGACCTTTTAGTAAACCCCGCTTGTTTCGCGAAAAATGAATGATTCAAAAAGTAATTTCCTAAAATTAATTGCTTGTGTCGCCTGAAATAATTAATCGATAGAAATGCATAAACATTTTCGTAGACGACGAAAATGTTTTTCCGTTTATTCGTTCTTTTAATTGATGTAATGGATCGTTTTTAGGAAAATGTTTTTCGAATCATTCATTTTTTCCGGAACAAATTGAGCTCAAATCAAAAGATTAATCTATTTTTTCTGTTTCTTCTCTTCAACGAAGAAGAAGTGAAAAGAGAGAGAAATATCCATTTTCCCTTTTCACTTCCTAATTTTTTTTTATCTGTTTCGGAAAAATTTAATAGTTTGCGTAGAAGAATGGATCAGTCTACGTGTAGATGACAAATAATTTAGGAATATACGATGTATAAACTCAAAAAATAAAAAAAATTTAAAAAATTGGCAGCGTGACAAAAACGAGGGGCATAAGATGGAATTTCAAGTTGTGATTGGTCGGTGTCGAAGAATTAGCAAATATATTAATATCGGAGTCGTTATCTAATGAATGGTATGTGTCGACATAATGCGTTCCGAATTGCACCGATTGGAACGTCACGGGATTTCACATTGTTTTTGAAGAAACAATAGGGCTAGTGATAAAGTTTAATCTCATGGAAAGACGGTGTTGTTGACTCTATGGCTAGAGTTTTAAGGTCTTGCCAAAATTCCATAAAAAATATATATATACTCACAATTTAAAGTGCTATGAAATATTACATGTGAATCTACGTGTCGATATTTATAGGTCATGGGAATTCCGGGTTTTTGAAAAAGTCAAAGGGCGTGTGCATTGCCAGACTTGATACGAAAAAAAAAAAATGAAAGTCGTCGCAGATACGTCTCGAGTAAGAAAAATGAGAGAGGGGACCGACTATTTAGAAAGAAAATTCGATAACTAGGCAGAGTACGCCATATGATGCAAGTTGTTATCTCCATTGGGTACCACTATGATCAACATCGGAGCAGTTACGACCGAGTAAATAACTTGTGTGTTTGATATTACTTACACCTCGTAGAATCGCAACATCTTAAAACCGAGCTTGCTTCCTCAACGCCATCACAATCTATAGTTTTGTGGGTGTTGTGGTTGCAAGAAATAGAGGTGATCTAGGCTGGACCTTTAAGGTCAGACTTTAAGAACTTTCTCACTTGCCCATGGAAATTTTTCTGTATGAATCTTTGGACTGAGCCGGGGTTGGCTCGGGCAACGCTTTTTTACATAAATGTTGCGAAGAAACTATATCGAATAGCTTAATATAGGGGGAAGAACACTAGAAGTGCCAAAACTTATGTACAACGCTCACTTTAGTGCCAAAAGTTTTCGCCGGCTCACTTAAGTGCCAAATCGGAGGAAAAACGATCACTTACGTGCCAACGGTGAGAAATTCCAGCCAAATTAATACGTGGCTTTTATAATTAAAATTTTAATCTTAGTTGGATTTTTTTTAAAAAAAATAAGTTTACATGGCATTTCCATGTGTATATTTAGATGTTTTAAATATTTTTTCTGATTTTTTTTCCTTCTTTTCTTTTTTCTTCTTCTTCCTCCTCCGGTCACCGGAGGTCGGCCACGGCCAGCCGCCTGGCCTCTCCCGGACGAGGCCACCGTCGCCCGCCACAGGCGAGGCTCGGCCGACCCTCACCTGGGCGAGGGCGGGTGAGCCTTGGCGAGGCCACGGCGGTCTCGCCGGACTGGCGAGGCGAGGTCGACCCTCGCCAAATCCGGCGAGGCCGGCCGACACCGTGGCCACGGTGGCCTCGCGGGGCGTCGCCTTCCTCCGGGCGAGGCGAGGCCGACCCTCGCAGGGATTCACCCGCCCACGCCCAGGCAAGGGTCGGCCGGGCCTCGCCTGTGAAGGGCGACGGTGGCCTCGTCCGGGCGAGGCCAGGCGGCTGGTGGCCGGCCTCCAGTCACCGGCGGTGACCGAAGATAGAAGAAGAAGAAAGAGAAGAAAAAAAGAAAATAAGGAAAAAAAATCAGAAAAAAATATTTAAAAAATCCAAGTGTACATGCTAAACTACGTCGTTTTGATGTGTACATGCTGACTAAACCTCCGGCGAACCAGATTAGCTTCAGAAATTAATAAAAAAATATCACGTCTGATTTCCGGCCAAACTGATCGGAGTTAGCATTTAAGTGATCGTTTTTCAAAAATTTTGGTACTAAAGTGAACAAAAAAAAACTTTTGGCATTAAAATGAGCGCCGTACACAAGTTTTGGCACTTTTACTGTTCTTCTCCCGCTTAATATATATTGAAGTGACTGGGTGATGAATAGTAAGATGATGATACAACATGTTTGAAAATTTAGTTTGATTTTCTTTTGACTTTTCAAGTTTCTCGGAGTTATCGAGTGTATTTGCCCCGGGAAAAACTTCGTCATAAAAGCAAATGTTTTTTCAGAAATCATATTCCAAGACCGCTAAATATATATAAATGAATAAATGACACGTGGACCGTTGATTGGATGGATTATACATAGATCCGATCTAATTAAATTCGCACGATAGAGGCAAACAGCATTAAATTTTTTCTAATTGCGGAGGGGAACAGGATCGCGGAACGCATTACCGTTTCCTCGTCCGAGTACCCAATACGAGGCACAGTCTTTGAGGTTGCCTCGAGAAGCAGTTGCTCCAAACGGCACGTTCTCTTGTCGTTTTGCTCCGGAAGGCCCCTACCCCGCATCGAGCCAGCCGTTGGGAAACCTGGATGAGCACCCACCCACTTAACCCCGGTCCTCCTAATCATGGTTAGGCCAAGCTAACCCCCTGCGCGTAATTACGGAAACGCCACCCACTCCCCACCTATAAATTCCCCCTTCGCTTTTCGCTAGGTTTGCGAAACCAACCTTCCTAGTCTCCTCCCTTACGGGAGAGGCCCCACCTCCCTCCCTCTTCCCCTCCCTTTCTCTCTCTAGAGCGCAGCTTTCTCTCTCTACGGCGGCGATGGCGATCTCCTCCAGGAGCGACCGGCCGAGCGGCCCGGTGCTCCGATCCCTCTCCCCCGGCAGGTTCAACTCGCTCACCGCCAGGGCGACGACGGCCATCGAGTCGTCGGCCTCGTCGCTGTCCACGATGGCCTCCGACTTCGCGATGAGCTCCGGCTTCTACTCCCCGTCCTCCCCGTCCGCCTCCTCCTTCTTCGGCCGGCGGCCGTCCTCCCCCACCCGCGTCAACCTCTCCTCCTCGCCGCCGCAGCTGCTCTCGTCGTCCTCCGTACGCTTCTCCATGGACGGCCCGGTGTCCCCGAAGCGGTCGTTCGCCGTCTCGCCTCGCCATCCGGTGATCAGCCGCCGCGGCAGCTCGATCGGGAGGAAGGCGTGCATGTGCTCGCCGACGTCGCACCCCGGCTCGTTCCGCTGCAGCTTGCACAAGCACTCGGGCAGCGGCGGCGGCGGCGGCGGCGGGGGAGAGGGAAGCGGTCACTCTGACTCGTTCGTGCCGAACCGGCTGATCATGCTGCGGTCGGCGATGAGGAACAGGATCGTCAGCATCGGCGGCGTCGAGGGGGACCTGGTGATGAGAGCCCTGACGGCTCTGATCCGCCCGTCCTCGCACCAGCAGAGGCGGCTGGGCGCATTCCGGCCGAGGCCGAGTCGGCTTTCGGCGATGTCCAAGGCGGCCGCGGCGGAGGATCTCTAATCAGGTTGATTTTACGCGTGCGGCTGGTGAAATTCGCGTGTGCAGCTCCGGGGACCGAGTCAACTCAGGCGAGCTCGACCACGGCCGCGAGGAGCTGCCGCCGCCGAATCGGCTCTCGACGGATCGATCGTCGGCGGCTTCATTTGGCTTCGAAGGAGCGGCGGAGTTCGCCGCGAGAGCTGACTTTTGGTTGTACATAATAATTTGACGGCCGTTGACGGCCGGTGACGGAAGAAAGTTTTGGACTTTACCCTTTGCCGTGAATCAAACCCCTCACGAATCCCAAAAGCAACCGCCAACTTCGACTCTAACCCCTGAATCCGGATCACTTCTAACCTAATTAAACCAACCAAACTTGCAAGCCAAAGAAAAAAGCTCGTTAGGTCTGAAACCGTTGGCCGGAGAGTCGTGACGTTCGGTCGCGTGTCTCGTCTCGCCCACCGTACGACTTTTGATTGGGTCGTCGCCGTTGACCTTCGCCGTCGCCGTCGCCGTTGCCGTCGCCGTCGCCGTCCGTCACCTGCTCCGTTGACTTGGCCGCCGCAACGTTCCGTCCGTCGTCGTCGTCGCGGTGCTCGAGGGAGGTATATCGTATATGCTTGCTGACTAATTCATTCCCCCTTTTTTTTTTCCTCATTTAATTTCGCTTATTATTATTATTGTTTCTGTTGTCGTTATTTTTAATGTATTTTTTGCTGGTGCAGGTGGGTGTGATGCCATTTGCGTAGAACTAGGCCACCTGGAATGACGGCCCCGAATTTATTTAATAATTATTAAATTTTTAAAAAAAATATTATCAGGAGACGAAACGGGGACAGCTAGGGGAAGTTTCCTCCCCCACTTGGCAATAATGAAACCAAAATAAATTGAATCTGATTCGTTGACATTGGAAGGCCCCGAATGATGCCAGCTGGCGTCGCATCGGCATTTGATTAATCCGATGAAAGGAATAATATTTGAATGTTCCGCACGATATGAGGGTCCATCGTAGATATTAACCAAATCGAGAGGAAAAAGATAGGAAAAATCGGGCTTTGGACCGTAAATTGTGGGGGAGGAGCCATGATTCATCTCGATCCTTCCAGATCGTGTGGTTTTGGAGACTCAATTTGATAAGATCTGGACATTTGGCATTAAAATTCGAACTACGAAGTTTGTGAACTGTATTATTGATCACGGCCATTGGAACGTACGGCGGAGATGAAATCACGATGGGACGTTGTTCTATAGGGCAAGTTTGGAAGAGTGACTTTCAGATCATGCTATTCTTTTGTTCGGGTCAGTGCTTCAAGACATGATTTGACTAGGCATTAGGAATTCGAAAGCGTGGAAGCGGCAAAGGTGGGAAAGGCATGAAGGTGGGGAGCGGTGGGGAATGGTCAGTGATTGGCGCGGGGGAATGCGGGGCACGATTGGGACCCAATGACCGTTGGCCCCGCTAGTGACCTCGGTCGAAAGGTGCGGCTCCGATCTCCATGGCCCCCGGGGGCCCCCCGTCCGTGGCTGGCCGTTGACCTCCTTCGATCGGGCCTATCGTGCTAACGAATCTTATGACCCATTTTGAATTGTTGATGTTGCGTTGAACATCTAGAAATAGACATTCCACAGCTTTGAATTGGAGGAATACACGATACCCTCGTGACATGACGGACTAATTGAAAATGATTCTAGATACTGATATCGTGGGGGGTTGGACTAAGTATGGATGGAAAATTGCGATAGGGATTTGGAAACCCGAACGAACGGAACCGAATCTTCTCGCTTTTGGTGGTCAAATTGTCCAAAAAGTCCTAAATCTATTGCACTTTTGCCAATTTAATTCTAAATTTTTTTTAATTTTGCCAATTGAATTTATCCGACCAATTTTGAGAGGAATTCGTTGACGTGGATGTCGGGCATCCTAAATGGCACGACTGGTGCCGAAGTAGCCATTTTTAATAATATTTTTAATATTTTTTTCGATTTTTTTCTTTTCCTTCTTTCTTTTTTCTTTCTTCTTACTTTTGCCGGTGACTGACCACAGGCGATGATTGAGCTGGCTGGCCTCACCTAGGCGAGGGTCGTCGTCCCCTGCTGAGCAAGGGTGAGCCTTGGCAAGGGGACCCTCGCCAAGAACTAGCGTGGCTGGCAAGGCCACCCTAGCTTAGGCGAGGGTTGGCCTCGTTGCCTCGCCTGGGTGAGGGCGAGCCCCAGCGAGGTCGGCTCTCGCCCAAGCTAGGGCGGCCTCGCTAAGCATCACTTTCGCCCTCGCCTAGCCAGGTCTCGCCTATGGTAGGCATGGTGACCCTCGCTCAGGTGAGGCCAACCCGCCCACCCATCATCATGGCTGGTGGCGGGCCACTGGTAAAAGAGGAAGAAAAAAGGAAAAAAAATAGAAAAAAATAATAAAAAAATTATTAAAAATTCTCAACTTCAGCGTCGTTGCCGGACGTGGCACGTAAGACGGCTAGCATCTATGTCAGCGAATTTCGGTCAAAATTAGCCGAATGAACTCAATTGGTAAAATGTGAAAAGGGTTAGGACTCAATTACCAAAATCGAAAGGTTTATAACTGAATTGGTAAAAGTGCAATAAATTTATGACTTTTTGGACAATTTTCCCCGTTTTTGATCAATTCAATCCGGACATGATTATTAGATCAAGGTGTGAATGGTGAATCGGAATCTCAAATTCGAAAATTGTGACTCGAGAATTGAATCTGATTTAGTAAATTTTGGCCATATTAAGCTTGGAATTTCGGGCACATTAAAAACGATTGCCAAAATTAGGAGTTCTCGGTGAGCTTCATTTTCGAAAGTAAAATATATTGGATTTCTAGTACGTGTTATGAGCACGACATGAGATGCTGCGGCACGTTACTTGTCTTAAAAGGTTCCGCATTTAAATGTACAAAGGAAAGTCCGCGTGCCGACGTATGTATGATTGGGTTGTAATTTCACGGGTTTTACTTTATATTATCTCAAAAATGTCATTAATCTAATATACGACACGATTTAGTATAAAAAGAACCATGTCTTTTGATAGACAAAATATAATGAGCGATAATCGATCAAATCGCTCGATATCTGTTGTATCGATAGATTCAGTGATAGACTCGTTTTAGAAGAGAAACGTCGCTATACTTTAATCGAATAATCAAGCATAAAATGAAAAACGATCCGACAACGATAATCGTGGGTTCAGTAGTTTTTTGTTTGGGAAAATGACACAAACAGTCTCTGAACTTTGACCTAATGTGTAATTTGGTCCATAAACTTTTAATTTGTTCAATGTGGTCCCTGAACTTTAACCAAATGTGTAATGTGGTTCCTGAACTTTTAATTTGTTCAATGTCATCCATAAACTTTTGGTACATATTCAATTCAGTCCCCGAACTACATGAAAATGTTCAATGCAGTCCTTTCAATTAATTCAAATTCAGGGATTACATTGAATATTTTCATATAATTTATGGATCGAATTGAACATGTACCAAAAGTTCAGAGATGACATTGAACAGCATAAAAATTCATGGACCACATTGAACAGTAATATAAAATTCAGGGACTATATTGAATAAATTAAAAGTTCATGGACCAAATTGCACGTTGAGCCAAAATTCAAAAACCGTTTATATCGTTATCCCTTTTTGTTTCGACTTTCCAGGCAAAGAGACAATGTTCTTTCTTTTTCTACTTTTATCATTTCGACTTTACAAATAATACAAACTCCCAGAAAATTTCCGTTATCCCGACTGGACCGACTTCCATTTCTCACTTTTTTTCCTACTTTATCGAAAACCCACGGCTCACGCGCCTTGACATTTTATAAATTCCGCAAGACTCGAGGCTTTGACTAAATTACAAAATAATAATATTATTTCAAACTCGAACGATATTTTCAAAGATGGAAAAAATACTTTTTTCCTCGATTTTGCCAAAAAACGCGTTTTCGAAAATTCATATATCCTAGTTCTTTTCACCTCTAGTCATGGACAAAAAAAAAGGAGAAGGAAGGAAGCCCGACCGGTCAAAAGTCAACCCGTCGATCCCCGTACCTAAAAGTCATCTTACTCGTCTCGATCTAAACGACCCCGCCTTATCCCCTCCCTCTCTCCGCCCGCCATCGCCATCTCAGTCTCTCACTATGCTCGCCTCGCGATCCTTCCACCACCGTGCTCCGCCCTCCTCCCCCGCCGCCGCCCTCCTCCGCCGCCGCCTCTCAGCCCGCTCCGCCTCGGCCCAACCGCCGCCGCCGCCGCCGACGATCCCCACCGCCGTCGCCGCGGCGGCGGCGGCTGAGGCTGAGGCTGATGATCGGCGCCGAGGCCTCGCCTCCGGCACGCTCCTGCAGCTCCTCTCCAGCGTCGCCCTGGGCTCCGGCCTCGGGATCGCGTACTGGCGCTGCGCTTCCGAGGGCGGCGACGGCGGTCTGAAGCCGCTCGTGGCCTTCGCCGACTCGTCGGCGGCGGCCGCGGCTGAATCTGCGGTCGACGGTCGCTGGTCGCGCTCGCTGTTCCGGAAACTGTCTTTGCCCGATTACAGCCCCAAGTATCTCTTTGGAGGTACGCGTTTTGTTAACTGTTGAGCGTCCGATAGCTTAATCCTCGCGGTTTGAGTGGAATTTGTAAAAGTTTTGAGCTAACAGTGGATTTCAAACCCCGGATAGGAGAGTTGAACTAATTGATTCAGCTAAGGGTAGTTTTGTTTTTAGCTTGATTGATCTTCAGGCACAAGATTATTTCCTTCATCAACCTGGTTTGATAAGCAGGAATTGGAGAGCATGTTTCGACCTTTGAGCTTGGAAATATAATGCGTAATATAAAAATTCGCATCTGCAATTTCCGTGTCCATAATGAAATTTATGTGTTGATTGTGCGGCCTCTTGTTTAATTCCGTGGTGCAGATGCGTATAGGAGGAAGGTCTTCTTCAACTATGAGAAGCGAATTCGACTGCGAAGTCCTCCTGAGAAGGTGATGCTTCTGTCTTGATTATGCGCGTTTTCACTGGTTGCACTGTAATTTTTCCAAATCCCAATTTTTCTAGCTTTGAGTGTATAATTACTCTATGGCACTTATTACAAACTGCTAAGAGAAGAGAAACCTGGTTAAGGAAAATCTTTAACACGGTCGTGTATGTTTCTTTGAGCTGAATCTAATGCGCATGTTGTGCTTATTTATTTATTTGTTTATGCATTGTTCTTTTAGACAACTATAGTTATTTGGTTTCTATGGGATAATTTCACGGATCATCTAGATAGGCATGGTAGTTTTACGAAAGGCTAGTCGTGATTATGATATGTACTATCAAGTGGACATTATCAAAGTCATTTATGCTGTTTGGCGTCCATGAAAGTGTTTTTACAGCCGCGTGATATCTTCTGATAAGATCTCCATTGCTGGAAACTTAATTATCGTTGATAATTATTTGTCGCTGATTCCTTTTTTTTTGGTTAAGTTTTTATTTTTATCATGTGCAAAGTTCCTTGTGTCGACAACTGTGACCCATCAAACATATGCATCACTAAAGGCGTGAAGCTTGGATGGTCAGTCACTGATGGCCCAAAGATTGGATTATTCGTGGTGTAGGTGTTGGGTACTTAATCTACACACAAAAGTCAGTTCCTCTTGGGTTAGTCCAGACTGTAATCACTGTGAACCATAGGAGTGTGTTTATTTGGTCACTCTAGGATGAGAGCTTCTTGAAATTTTGAGAACCTAGTTAAATAGTTAAGAGCATGGGTTTATAGCATTTGGCTGATGTTAGCTATCTAGATAAATGTTCTTACATCGTGTAGGCCTTATTTTGACAATCTGCTTGTGCTTGTCATGCTTCTTTACACATTCTGTCACAGGGTTTTATTTCACTAGTAGGCATTTAAGATCAGTCAGTATTCTCATGATTGTTAAGAAAACAAGTCATGAAGGAAAAAAGAAAATGTCGGAATTTTAATGAAGATAAAGGCTACACAACCATCTAGCTGAAAATACATGGTATAAGGCAGAACCTTATGGCTGTTTAAATTCTTAATGCACAAGAAACTAACGACTGCATCAGGAGAGTCAGGATTTACCTTAGCTTATAAATTTGTTTTAACGTGTAGAAAAGTAATGCTATTCGGGTTGATTAGATTGAAATGGGAAAACTACTGTTGCTTGCACATGATTTTACCATCTTCCTATTTTTGTCTCACACTGCACTATTATGGCTTAACTCATAGCAGTTATGTTATCTTGGTTTCCTTTTATAGCTTCTCGGTGATGTGAAATGAAATCAACTTTAACATCATGATGCTGGATCCAAGTTTATAAAATGGATCTTGTTAACGAGTGCCCTCCGGGCACTGGTTAAATATAGTGGTTGCACAGAACATAAGGACAGACAGTGTATTGGACTGTGAAGTTTCCTTAATTGGTTGCTGGGGACACTTTTATCAAAATCCTTGTTAAATAGCTAAATTTGCAGCTATTCGCTACTATATACGGCCTTGATCTTACATTTTGGAGAATAGGGCCGATAAATTCTTTAGATTTGGGGTCTTGAATGCGTCACTAGTCTATGCATAAAATCCATAGTTTCAGAGCTTATGTTTAAATGTCATTGTCAAGGGATGTCGATTTGACAATTAAAGTGTGCTGGCCTTTTTCACGTAGGTTTTTGAATATTTTGCATCTTTCCGAACCCCAGAAGGAGAAATACTCATGAAACCAGCAGATTTGATGCGTGCAGTTGTTCCTGTTTTCCCTCCTTCTGAATCCGACCTGGTTCGAGATGGGTATTTGATTGGAGAGAGGAATCCTGGGGAGCTACGATGCGGTCCATCAGAGTTCTTTATGCTTTTTGATGTGAACAATGATGGACTAATATCGTTTAAAGAGTTAGTTGCACCACTTACGTTGATTTTTTCTGTTACATCTTATTTGCTTTCAGGAATATAATTTTGTTCCGTGTACTTTTACCAGGTACATATTTTTTGTAACGCTACTCGGTATCCCAGAATCAAGCTTCTCAGTCGCATTCAAAATGTTTGACATAGACAATAACGGGTTTGTATACAGCATCCTTTTCTTTCCTGTGCCTATTCCCACAAGTCTGTTGTTTGTAAACATTAATTTTTTACTGCTTCTACTTTCTGGATACTGACTCATAAATATGTTGTATTATTCATAGTCAAGTTTGACTTGTAAGCATCGTTTCTTAACTCTCTGGACATATTTGTTCATATTCACAAATGTCATAGTTTAATGCTCAAATACTCGGTTATTCTTAATCTGCAACTACAATATTTAAACTCTGGGAATTTGTGGTGCGATTGCTTTTATATGTGTTGCTTTTAAATGTGAATGAACTCCCTTATGTGCCACTGCCTATCTTTCTATAAATTTCTTGTTGCTGGTTCTATCAACTGCTGGTAACTTTATCATTCCACAGGGAGATAGACAAGCAAGAATTTAAGAAAGTGATGTCTCTCATGCGGGCTCACAACAGACATGGGGCACGCCATAGGGATGGACGTCGAACTGGATTAAAAGTTAGTGGCTCTGTTGAAGATGGTGGCCTGGTTGAGTACTTCTTTGGCACAGATGGGAAGGCATGTCTTCGGCATGATAAATTTGTCCAGTTCATGAGAGATTTGCATGATGAGGTAACTCGGCACTTCCAATATTCTCAACACTGTGGACACTCGGAATCTGATACTTGAATTGTTATCAAGCTTTCTTCTTCACTTAATTGATTATGAATTGAGGAACTTTTGTTACTTTTGATATGTGCCGTGGTTCTCTTGTCCCTTATAATTAGCTCATCTCATGTGTAATGCCTTATTTTTTACCATCAGAAATCAAGGTTTCAAAGTGGCCCAGATAGAACGTTTCTGCTTGTTGATCTTTGTTCTTTTTCCAATTGCAAGGTTAATACCATAATCTTAAGCAGGTAGAGCACATCGTGGATAAATAAGCTTAACAAGACCAGTTGGTTGTTCATCAATGCTTTCACTATCCTTCGTTAAATTTTTGTATCACATTATTGGTTTTTTGTAAGGAGACGGCCTTGATCCTTTCTCTCTCTCTTTACTTTAGGTTAAATGGAACCTGCTTAGATCAGAAGTAAACTAGCTGATTTTCTTTCGCCGGCTTCGATTCACTTTGGTTTACATTTGCTAATATGAGCAATCTATCTCCATCTTATAGATGCTTAATTTGGAGTTCGCTCATTATGACTACAAACAAAGGGGGACTATATCTGCTAAAGATTTTGCATTGTCCATGGTTGCTTCTGCTGACATGAAGCATTTGCACCGTTTGCTGGATCGAGTTGATCGATTAGACAAAGAACCACATCTTACAAATGTGCATATTTCACTAGAGGAATTTAAGAACTTTGCAGAGCTACGCAAAAAATTGCAGCCATTTTCCTTGGCCCTTTTCAGTTACGGAGAAGTAAGTGGTTTGCTCACAAGAAAAGACTTTCAGCGAGCTGCATCTCAGGTAAGACATCTGTCTCTTCTCCATACCTTAACACATGTTTTATTCATGGTATGAATGGATACGTTAACAATAGATAAATCTTTGCACTTTAAAAGCCAGTTAAGCTATCTACCTATTTTGCATGGGGAGTCTCTTTTGTTGTGTAATTTTAGCATTCAGGACTAGCAGATGCCGTAGCTTGTAGCACATTAGCAGATATCATAGCTTTAACTTATAACATGATGCCAGCACACGCAATTTGATGGAAATGGTTTTGGTTTACAAACATGGATTCACATTCTTACCAAACAACACTGAGAGAACGAATTCGATTTCATCAATGTTGTTGTGCTATGTGATTCGGCAATTTTGTAGTGCAAACCTTTAGATTTTCCATGGAAATGGTGAATGAATGCTTGCTTCTCCTACTCCACGTGACTCCTTTTGTTGTTACTATCTGCAATGAATCCTTTCTAAATTGTTTGGTGGGAATTTTGACTCAATTCCAGGTCTGTGGTATCTCGCTCACGGATAATGTCGTCGAGGTCATATTCCACATATTCGACTTCAATCAGGATGGAAACTTAAGTTCGAAGGAATTTGTTAGAGTCCTTCGCAGACGAGAAAAGGACATTGCAAATCCCGAGGGCGATGGTCTCATGGGATTGCTGTCTTGTTGCCACAATTGTGGAAACAAGTACACAATCGAGCGCTTGCTTTCTTGAGTCTTATCTCAGGTGCATGGTCCCGTATAATCTTCCGCGACGACTTCTCTGTGGTCTTGATTGCTGGAAGTGTTGGTGAGATTCAATGATCCCATGACTCCTCTCGGGATTGGTGATGAATCTCGAACTGCTTAGCAACTCCAGTGATCTGATGCCGAAGAGTGTTGCCTAGCAGCGAGGTACTGATGGAGGCAAGCAATAGCTTCACATTGGAACCACTGGGGGTGTCAAAAATAACAGAGAAGAGGCTCTCACCGGGCACTAGCCGATGTTTAATCAATCATAGCCGGCTTGTTTACCCTGGCTTATAACAGCAAAGCGGTATGGTTCACTACAAATGTACAGAAAAATAATCGAGTATGGCTTCGGACATTACACGGATTATTCGAGCTCATTGGCTTCGCAAACTTTGGAGTGAGCATTGAAATAGATGCGGTCCTGTGAGCCGTCATGTTGGATATATGCCGCTTTTCTCTTGATGTGATTGGAGAATTCTTCATTTCTTGTGATGCAAGCATTCAGTGAACATGTGCTAAGATTTTGGCTTTCGTAGAGGGATATTGTTAATCAGTCTTCCTAAGGTACTCGTTAAGTTTAATAAAAGAGGAATTAACACTTTCTAAGACATTGAAAATAGAAGAGTTACCCATTTTAGTCAGATCATTTATTTCAAATAGTAAATCTTAAATCCCCAAACAATGTTTAATAAGGTTTAACAACTGTTCGAGGGGGCACTTTTCAAATTTGATATTCGATGGAATGGCTTGTTGTCCATGTTTGATCTCTAGTTTCTGCCGTGGTGATATTTTTCTTAACTTTTTAATAATATCTTTATGGAGACATTAGACGTGTGAGCTTGAACCGTTGGAGTAGCTTTAAGTTTGATACTGGGAATGTGATGTGTTAAGTTACTCCCGAGCAGTTCGAGCTTTGATTCGATGACTGGTTGAGATCAACTCCTCAAGCTACTCGAGTGTATCATGTTGGATCGAGCTCAAGCTCACCAATATTAAAGCTCGACACGGAATCCTAATCGAGTTTCTCTTACCTTTTTTTTTTCGAAAATCATATTATAATTACATAAAGGATAAAAAGTGCTTCAATTATATAATAATATACTCACATACATACAAATGCACGAAAAATAGTCGAGTTTATAAAGCTCGAGCTCGAGTTTCTGCACATGACTCCGTTATAATCGACTCGAATTCGAACATGGCAACGTATCAACATGACTCGACTCGATCCAACCTCTAGTAAAATGGAGTGGTTTCGAAGAGCAAGTAGACTCTAAGGGGCCGTTTGACAACTTGCCAAATAATGAAAATTTATGTTCTTTTGTTCCCAGAATAAGTTTGGGAACAGAAATCAGTTTGTTAAATTTTTTGTGCCTAGGCACAATTTTGCAAAAAATTATTCCCAGAATTAGTTTTGGAACAGAATCAAGAAGCAAAAAAAACGTAGCTTCTTGATTCTGGAACAATTTTTCCATTTATGATTCTTCTTGATTTTCTTCTTTTTTCTTGGTTTGTTGTTGTTCTTTTTCTCTGCCTGCCACCCGCCTGCCGCCACCTATCGCCGCTTGCTGCTGCCTGCCTCTGGTCGGCCGCCACCATCGGCCACAGGCCAGGGTCAGCGAGGGCGTCGCGACCCTTGCCGCCTGGGCGAGCGCAGCTCGTGGTCGCGACGGCAAGGTCTCGCCCAGCCATGGCGAGGCTCGACCTTACCCAGATCTAGCGACTGTGAGGTCGGCGATGAGGGCGGCGGTGAGGGCCGCGACGCTCTCGCCGACCCTGGCTTGTGGCCGGTGGCCAAGACAAAAAAGAAAAAAAAAGAAAAAAAGGAAAAAAAGAAAGAAATATTAAAAAATTCAAAATATTATTAATAAAAAGAAATTTTGTGTAGTTACCAAATGCATTTTTATTTTTTTTCTATTTTAAGAACAGAAATTTTAGGCAGTTACCAAACGCCTTCAAATGCTTAGAAATTATTTCTAGGCACGGAATAAAAAAGAATCATTTCTATGCAGAGTCTATTTTCGGGTACAGAATGATTGCCATGCACAACCTAATTCTTCAAAGTCCCTTCCTAACATGGCATTGACTTTAACTTTCCGATCACAGAAGCCTCCTTTGGCACATTAAAAGAAGGGACAAAAGAATCGGTCCAAATCAATTCCATATCATCTTCCATCTAAGCATTTGAAACCATAAAAGAAAAAAAAAACACGTGGTTGGGTGGTCAATTCCAACCATCATTCCTAATGATTTCTTATCACCTCCTCGATCATGGAGCTTTTAAATAAAGCTTAATTAGCCCTAATGATTTCTTTTTCCCCCTCCTCTTTTCGTAAACCATTGTTCCCCACTTACAGCTAATTTTCTTTTTAAATAATTATTTTTTTACTTTTTTTGTGGGTAAATTTTTTTTCAAATTCTTTGCGGGTCCGACATGCCATATAGAAAGATGTGTGTATATATATATATATGTGTGTGTAGCGAATCGATTTAATAATTATTAGCAAAACAGAAGATATGGAAGGGGGTTTCCTCAATTCAATGATTGGAGGCAACAGTGACCAGAAAATGTGGTGTAGGGAAAGCCATAGGTGCCTGCCCCATTCCGGAAAATAATCACTCCAATTTATTCCATCTTAATTATCGATTTTCTTCCCCCCTTTTTTTTTTGGCTCGATTTCTTTCCCCAGTGAAATAGGGGAAAATAAATAAATATCGAAATGTTCTACCATCTAAGACATCGGGGCTCAAAATGATCAATTTGCAATTAATTAAAGGAAGCAAAAAAAGAGGAAAAAAGAAAGGAAGAGAAAAATCATGGGAAGAGTTGATGCGAAGAGGCAAGAAAAAGCAAAATGACGCAAATGATCTTTAAACTTTGACCCAATATGCATTATGGTCCACGAACTTTTAAATTTATTCAATGAGGTCCCTAAATTTCAACCCAATGTGCAATATTATCCCTGAACTTTTAATTTGTTTAATATGATCTTCGAACATTCTAATCCCTTGATTGTACGAAAATATTCAATGTTGTCCCTGAACTTAAATTAATGGAAGGACAACATTGAATATTTGGACTAGTTTGAATATTTACCAACGAACAGATTAAAATTTCAAGACGACATTACACATTGAGCTAAAATTCAGAAATCACACCTAATAGATTACAAATTCACGGATAACATTACACATTAAATTTAATGTTTAGAGACTATTTGTGCTATTATGTCGGCAAATAAAGTAAATTGGAACAAAAAACAAAAATGTAAATTGGAACATCCTCTGCGGAATATGCTGGTTTGGACTTGGGACTCGGGGACCATCTTTCTTTATATTTGTTCATGTACTTTTAACTTTGATCCAATATGCATTGTGGTCTATGTACTTTTAAATTTGTTCAATGAGGTCCCTAAATTTCAGCCCAATGTGCAATATTATCCCTGAACTTTTAATTTGTTTAATATGATTTTCGAACATTCTAATTCCTTGATTATACGAAAATATTCAATGTTGTATCAGAACTTAAATTAATGGAAAGACAATATTGAATATTTGGACTAGTTTGAATATTTACTAACGAACGGATTAAAATTTCAGGACGACATTACACATTGAGCTAAAATTCAGAAATCATATCTAATAGATTACAAATTCACGGATTATATTACATATTAAATTTAATATTTAGGGACTATTTGTGCTATTATGTCGGCAAAAAAAGTAAATTGGAACAAAAAACAAAAATGTAAATTGGAACATCCTCCGCGGAATATGCTGGCTTGGACTTGGGAATCGGGGACCATCTTTCTTTAATGTTTTGTCACTTGGGCACTAAGAAATCAGAAAAAAAATGTGCTGTTATTCGTGGAAATGATAAAGTGTTTTTGGGTCTCCGCCTTTCCAGCGAAAATCGAGTGCCGCACCTCACGTGCCCATGCCGGCCGTGCGCCCCACGCTCCTACAGTTTTTTTCATTTCCTGGAAAGTGAAAGGCAAAAAAATGGGTAATGTTCCTATTAGGGATGAGCAATTTGAACCGCCCAAACTGGGACCAGACCGGATCGACTGGTTTGATCCGATTCTCGGGATGGTCCGGTTTCCGGTTCCAAAAAGTAGAACCGGTTTCCGGGCGGTTCGGTTCTCGGTTTCAAGGGGAAACCGGACCGGATCGGACCGACTATTTAATATATATTTTTGTTATTTTTTTCTTTAAAAAAATTAATAAAATGTGAACTAAACTCTAAGTGAACTTCATTATCATAATTTTATTGATAAAAATTAGTAAAATGTGAATTAAATCCTAAGTAAACTTCATTGATATAAATTCATTGACAAAAATTAGTAAAATGTGAATCGAACCTTAAGTGCTTAACAAAAAAAAAAAAACTAAACTCTAAGTGACCGGTTCCATTAGACCGGACTGGCGGTTCAGTCCGGTTCTCAGTCCTAGAATCAATCGGTTCGGTCTGCGGCTCCCAAAATTGGAAACCGGTTCTCTCGGTCCGGTTCCAAGGTGAAACCGGGAACCGGACTAGACCGGGAACCGATCACCCCTAGTTCCTATCATGCCAGATGATGCTAATGATAGGTACTGATAGAACAGTAGAGTCGTCAGATGCGCAAATCCCATCGCCTAAAAGCTCGGTCCGTGCGCACCACAAGTTACGAATTCCTGGTTATGCTACGATGCTTGCTGGCGTGAATATGGAAAGGTCGTCGATCGAGTTAAGAATCAAATAGCATCGGAAAAAAACTGTTGTGCGCGGGGCGATGGTCCCGTGAAACAGGCTAAGGCCTCGTGCGGCTTGAAGGGAAGCCGAGCCGATAGATCCTCTTGTCCGCCACGTGAAATCCGTTCGTGCTAGTGAAACTGCCGCGTGTGGATCGAACCTTGATCGAGGAAGACGAACACGGAGTATAGTCGTGCTCGTGACATTAGTTTTTGCTTCACCGCATCAGAGTGTTGCCCAAGAACGGATCACCTTCCCGGAAACCAGGACGACCATTTCTACCAATCATGGAAGCTGACGACTACGCGCCCCGACGAAAGTGGGGGGTGGGCCATTCGCTAATAAAGAGAGATCGATCTCCTTCCAAAGTTGACCTCCTCCTCCACCTCCTGTCCAGCTACATCGCCCTAGGAGAAGAAGAAGAAGAAGAAGAACGCCCGCCCCTGTTTTTTGACCTTTCCTTTCTTTCTTGGGCAGAGACAAAAATGGCCGTACTTTCCATGAAACATTCCTCTTCCAGCTCTTCCTCCTCCTCCTCTGTGGCCGAAGCGAAGCACCATTGATGCCTTTTGATCTCGCCTCCTGATCGCCCGTACCTTTATTTCTTTTCGTTGCGTTGCATTAGGACCCCGTCAGCACATCTGACGCGATTGTTCTTTCGTTCTTTTCCTCCGTCTGTCAGGAGCATCGGGTTCTGATTCGGAGATTGAAAAAGGGTAGAGTCTTTCGATCGGAAAGGAGCCTTCTTTCTTGGAAAATCCAGCAATCCGGTTTCTGGGTTCCTGATATCGTCCCCCCCTGAGGAGTGGGTTTTCCTTTTTTTTTTTTTGTTTGATTTTGGGTTGATTGAGTTCGGGTCTCGTTAGAAGCGGAAGCTCGCAGAAGAAAGATTTCGTTTCAGGCGTTTGCCCATTTTCGTGTGTTTCTGTAATGTTTAGATGAATTTGGGAAGTGGAAGCTTGGTGAATTTGATTTAGCTCTCGAGGAAAGGCCCTGTCTTGTGCTGTTGTCGTCGGTGCTGTTGGTTGCAAATCAATGGGAAAGCCCACGGCGAAGAAGAAGCAGCCTGCTGCACCGAAACCCAGCGATGCTCACGGCAAGCCGAGCAAACCCTCCGACCGCAACTCCAAGGCCTTTGATGAAGACACTGCGGTGTTCATCACCATGTCTCAGGAGCTCAAGGAAGAAGGTAACAAGCTCTTTCAGAAGAGGGATCATGAAGGCGCCATGTTGAAGTACGAAAAGGCCCTTAAACTTTTGCCGAAAAATCATATTGATGTCGCTTACCTGCGCAGCACTATGGCCGCTTGTTACATGCAGTTGGGGATTGGCGAATATCCGCGAGCAATCAATGAATGTAATTTAGCATTAGAAGTGTCCCCTAAGTATAGTAAAGCGCTCTTGAAGCGCGCGAAATGCTACGAGGTGTTGAATAGGTTGGATTTGGCTCTGAGAGATGTTAACAATGTCCTGAGTATGGAGCCGAATAATTTAAATGCGCTAGAGCTTGTGGAGAAGGTGAAAAAGGCCATTAGTGATAAAGGTATCCAGATTGAGGACAAAGAAGTTGTCTTGGAGAATAGTGAGTCCCCTAGTGCATTGCCGGCACGCAAATTGGCAAAAGAGAAGTCGAAGAAGAAAAGGAGTGGCAAAGTTGAGGAGAAGAAGGCCGAGGATAAGATGGTTATAGAGGATTCGACGGCCATTGTGAAAGATAAGGAAGTGGTTTTGAAGGCTATCGAGGAAGAGAAAGAGATAACTACGGATGTCAAGGAAGAACAGAAAGTGGTTACTAGGACGGTGAAATTGGTTTTGGGTGAGGATATAAGATGGGCTCAATTGCCTCTAAACTGTAGTATAAAGTTGGTGCGGGATGTTGTGTTGGATAGGTTTCCTGGCCTGAAGGGCGTTCTCGTGAAGTATAGGGATCGAGAAGGTGATTTGGTCACTATCACTACTACGGATGAGCTCAGGTTGGCTGAAACATCCAGTGAGCAGCAGGGTTCGTTTAGATTGTTTGTTGCAGAAGTTAGTCCTGATCAGGAGCCAGGTTATGAGGGAAATGAGGAGGAGTTGGACAACAGTGAGAGAGAAGCAGCTGCTGTGATTGAGGATGGTCGATTCGAGAAAGAAGGAACTATCGAGAAAGGCTCTACTTGCATAGAGGACTGGATCACTGAGTTTGCACGGCTGTTTAAGAACCACGTCGGGTTCGATTCTGATTCTTACTTGGATCTTCATGAGCTAGGGATGAAACTTTATTCCGAGGCGATGGAAGATGCAGTCACGAGTGAAGATGCTCAAAAACTTTTTGAGATTGCAGCGGAGAAGTTCCAAGAAATGGCAGCTCTAGCATTGTTAAATTGGGGCAACGTTCACATGTCCCGAGCGAGGAAACGAGTTTTCTTTTCGGAAGATAATTCTAGGGACGCTATACTGTCACAGATTAAAACAGCATATGACTGGGCACAAAGGGAATATATCAAGGCAGGACTGAGGTATGAGGAAGCTCTGAAAATGAAACCCGACTTCTATGAAGGTCTGCTCGCACTTGGGCAGCAGCAGTTTGAGCAAGCAAAGCTCTGCTGGTATTACGCGATTGGGAACAATATTGACTTGGAGACTGCTTCTTCTGAGGTCCTAATGCTCTATAACAAGGCTGAAGATAGCATGGAGAGAGGAATGCAGATGTATGAGGAGATGGAGGAGCAACGTCTCAATGGAATCTCTAGAGAAGAGAAAGATAAAGCTCAGCTCCAAAAGATGGGACTTGATGCTTTATTGAAAGAGGCGTCTCCAGAGGAAGCTGCCGAACAGGCTGCCAATATGAAGTCACAGATTTACCTTTTGTGGGGCACCTTACTTTATGAGCGTTCTGTTGTAGAGTATAGGCTAGAATTACCAACCTGGGAAGAATGCGTGGAGGTTGCTGTGGAAAAGTTTGAACTCGCTGGAGCATCTCCTACAGATATAGCTGTCATGATTAAGAACCATTGCTCAAATGAAACCGCTCTGGAAGGTAATTAGCCATATATCTGATGGTGCTTACGAAACTTGACTCCCTTGCGCTTTAAGAAGGTTATTTGATAGTACCTAAAAAAGATGACTGTGTATTTTTATCTATAGAAATTAGGAGAACTGTCTTTTGCAACTAAAAGCATTTAACTGGGTAAATTAGCGATGTAAAAAATTCTTTTAGTTTCTCTTTCTTGGTTCGTTTGCCTACGTTGTACATAGCACGATGACGTGAACCGAAGTTAAAGGAACTTTTGACGGATTGCATCCCCGATCTTGTTAAAGTTTTTCCTTGCATTTGTTGGGATATCTAATTTAGTATTACCTATGATATCTAGAATACAATTGACTCTGTTAAAAGCCTGCATGAAGCATAGGCAAGAGCACTGGTGAATTCATTTTTTTTGGGTGTAATTGTCTCTATTGATCGTTTGGTTTTCAAAGGCTAATTCGTAAAAACCACTGCTGCTGGTCCAGGGTTCAAGATCGATGAGATTGTCCAGGCATGGAATGAGATGTATGATGCTAAGAGATGGCAGATTGGTGTTCCATCTTTCCGTTTAGAGCCATTGTTCCGCCGGCAGGTTCCGAAACTTCATTCAATCCTGGAGCACCTATGAAGTTGTGGTTGATGGGAACTTCTCCTCGAGAATGCGACGCTCAATTTATGAAGTCTCGTTTTCTAGATTTTGCATTACTTCTGGTGAAGATAGGTAACTCCCTGTTTATTGCATTTTCTTATTCTTTTGCTTAGCAACTCCATGTCTATTGCCTTGATAAGTGGTGGAACTGCAGTTATTAATATATTGGATTTCTTATTTTTGCCTGCCATGCGTGTTAAATTACTTGAAGAATCGCATTCTGTACAGATTTATCCTCCATGTACGCAGTTATTTCGAAGGAATAGGCTTGTGATGAACCATTTGTGTCCTATAGTCATTGATAGGTCACTAATCCATTCAATTTTCCATACAAAGAGGGAGAAGCGGTTGTTCTTTTTTCTCAATTATGCCTGGCTTGGGGGAGATGGGAGAGGGAAGTTATGGGGAACTTTTGAAAATATGTCATGATGGTGTTTAGAGGGAGGTCAGTATAGATGTACTTTTGTCTTTCAGAGATGTTTACGTCTAAGTCCATAAATATGAAAGTACATGGATTCTCCATATAATATGTATCGGCTGACAGTCCCACTTCCAGAATGATGTCCTGTAATGAGTCGCAAGTGGGGTTTCATGGGTTGCCTTGTATTAGGAATGTTTCAATTCATTAATCAGCTGTTAACATTCAGCCACCTTTCTTAATCATTGGCTGTTTGACTGGTTATTTAGAAATGTATTTTGGTTGGAGACTACTGGCGAAACTTTTGTGGAAAGCAGTAGTTATAGATGAGTAGTGATGGAAAGATTGTAATCTCAGAAAGAAGCCAAACTAGAGGAAATAGTGGAACACTTGCCATGTAGGTATGACAGTGCATGTAACATGAATGCTTCATGTATGTGACTTTTGAAATTGTGATGCAATGCATCCGCAAAATGGAGGACGGTGAGACACCTTTCGCGCCCCTCTGAATTGGAATGGCTTTACTGTTTTATAGTTAGATCTAATTTCTGTTCCTTCTCTTCCAAGGTAGGATGGTCCTCATTAGTTTATCCACTTTTCATCCTTGCCAAACCCGCTAATTAGTTGGTTATGAGAAAGTCTTCTGGGCAAGCCTCTAGTTTGTCACTAATTTTTCTTTAAATATGTCCAAGAGTGTGACAGTAGTTCGGTAGAGATTTCTGAACACTACTTCACTGAATAATTCATGCGTGGCAATTTATGTGACTATCTTGAGTATGATTTCACTGGTATCCTCAATATGGCAGTAACCCGTGAATTTGCTCTGTTCTCTTTCTGATTAACTAAACAAGCATACTTGTTCTGATGTATAATTGTTTTTAATCTATTTGATTGTCACAGGTACTTTTTCATGCATTTTTCTCGTGCATAGCTCGTTGTTTGCTCAGGGAGCAAAGGACGGAAGTCGGTCCCGTGCCATTTCGGAGGGGCTCTAAGTTTTCACAGATTGCTGTAAAGCTGGATACATTTTTGTGTGCATCGTGAAGGTTGGATTGCATATAGCATATTTTTTTCACAGTTGAGATAGTGGGTCATGGGTATTTGATTTGATTTCATTCGATTTATTTCTCAAGGACAATAATGGGAGATTATTTTGGGTCACATCACCATTTGCAGTGGTGTGTGGTTTGCTTTAGATCGTGGTTGTTTCAGCTGTAACACTTTCATGGTTTCAAAGATAGCAAACGTTTATTCTTCTGAACATGTCATTTTTTCATGCTTCACTGCCTTATAGTTATGCCTGCATTTTCCTTTTCCTTCCTTTTCTTTGTTGCAAAACAATAATGGCGTCTACAGAAAATGCAGTTGTAGAATCTGTTGCTCTGCTATGCTAACTAATGGCGATGTTCCCTACCTGACCATGGAGATGGTAAAAAGCTAGTGAATTCTATTTCCCAACTCCCTTCTTTGACTCCTGTTTAGTCCATTCGAGGTCTTGGAGTTTAGAACACTGATATGTTTCATAAACAGGATTAGGACCGTTGGGATTGTGCTTGTTGAGTGTTTAACACGGCGTGAGCAATATGCCTATTCCTCTGAGTTAAGTGCACAACATTGGATATGGTTATTCTCTTGCACACCATCTATATTATCGGGAGTATCCAAACGACAATTCATGAAAGAGATGTGACTTGTGAGCATTAGCTTCAGATTTGGATTGATGAAGATGCTGATACAAGATCAATCTAATTCATGGGCAATAACCCATTTGAATTTGCTTCAATGATCCATCTGTTTACTCAAACTTGTAATTGAGCATTCAAAAGAAGCTTTAGATCGTCTACACTAGAAGGATGAAGAGTGAGCAAGTGCTTTAACAGAGATGGCCATTTGAATGCACAAGGCAGCTCAACTTTCCATGTTAAAGTACAGGAAGGGTAATTAAAATTACATGCAAGAAACGCCAGTAGTATCGCAACCCACATGGAAGATGATTGGATATTATTTTCTGTGAAAAGTGCCAAAAAAGTCCTAAACCTTTTGCATTAGTGCCAATTTAGTCCTAAACATTTTTTTGGTGCCAATTTAGTCCTAAACCTTTTGCATTGGTGCCAATTTAGTCCTAAATCTTTTTTTGGTGCCAATTAAGTCTTAAACCTTTTAAATTGGTGCCAATTCAGTCCTAAACCTTTTGTTTTTGTGCCAATTTAGTCTTTCCGGTCAAATTTGACCAGAATTTGGCGACGTGGGCCTTGCTGGCGGCGGCATCCTTGGAGCCGACGTGGCGACGTGGACAACTTTAATAATATTTTAATATTTTTTGAATTTTTATTTTTTCCCTTTTTTTTCTTTTTTTTCCACTTTTTTTTTGGTCCCCCCCTCCTTCCTCTGGCCGGCGAGCTCGACCTCATCGGCCACTGGCGAGGGCGGCGGCCTCGCCCGGCGAGGGCGAGCCTCGCCATGGTCAGGCGAGGCTCGAGCGCTTGCCGGAGGCCTGCGGCGAGGGCGAGCCTCGCCATGGTCGGGCGAGGCTCGCCCTCGTCGGATCTAGCGAGGTCGAGCCTCGCCCAGACCAAGCGAGGCTCGCCCTCGCCGCAGGCCGCGGCGAGGTCGGCGGGCGAGGCTCGACCTCGCCGGATCCGGCGAGGTCGGGCCTCGACCGACCATGGCGAGGCTCGCCCTTGCCGCGGCCTCCGGTGAGGGCCCAAGCCTCGCCGGGCAAGGCCGCCGCCCTCGCCAGTGGCCGGCGAGGTCGAGCTCGCCGGCCTCTGGCCTCTGGCCGGTCGCCGGACCGGCGACCGGCCAGAGGAAGAAGGGGGGCAAAAAAAAAAGTGGAAAAAAAAAGGAAAAAAAAGGAAAAAAATAAAAATTCAAAAAATATTAAAATATTATTAAAGTTGTCCGCGCCACGCACGCTCGGCGCGTGATCGCCGCGCCGCAGCAGCGCCCACGCGGCAAATTCGGTCAAAATTGACCGGAATGACTAAATTGGCACAAAAACAAAAGGTTTAGGACTGAATTGGCACCAATTTAAAAGGTTTAGGACTTAATTGGCACCAAAAAAAGGTTTAGGACTAAATTGGCACAAATGCAAAAGGTTTAGGACTGAATTGGCACCAAAAAAAGGTTTAGGACTAAATTGGCACTAATGCAAAAGGTTTTAGGACTTTTTTGGCACTTTTCCCATTATTTTCTTTATATGAAATGTTTAAGTACAGAAGACTTATCTCCATCATCAATGAACATCATTAGCCAAATCAATTACAGGAAGGGTAACAGAAATTGCATGCAAAAGAGGCAAGGAGTATCACATCGATCTGAATGGAAAATGTTTAACTGCGCCTTATATAAAGTATCATATGCAGAAAATATATCTCCATAGCTAGTCAACATCATTAGTGTGTGCGAAAGCTAGCCTCGGTACCACCTGACTGCTAAACCAAAAGAAAATCAATATAATTAGCTAAATCGATTAATTAGAGGGTAAGTAAAACAACATGCATAAGGCAAGGAGTATCATAACAAGCATCATAGCATCTGTATAAGCTTTTCCAATAATACTTCTTCTATTGAAACGTTTTTTCTGCAATGCATTGCCTTAGTTACAACAGATTTTAGGAAACCCATGACATCTTTCTTTTTGACCACTTTGATCTCTACTTTCCAAAAGTTGTATGTCACACTTTTGCTTATTCCTTATAAACGGCCATCTACAAAGAGATTGCATGTTTTGCGGTTGTCATTGCTTGTTCAACTGATCACGAACCTCTTCTGAAGGATTATCAGCCCCGGGTTTGATCAAACATGCGTCTCTTTGCTCCCCGCTCGATGGAAGGCGACAACCCCATTCACCAGCAGATTCTGCAGGCTTGATGACCTAGACTCCTCCATCCGTCAGTCCAACGGTGACACTGGATGTGCAGCGATAACAACTGGGTACACATCGAAACTGCTTCACTCGAACATAATCACGGTAAGTCGGAATAATATTGTAGCTTCTGACAGATATGAGATATTCCAGAGTATGCTCCAGTGCAGGTAATGAGTGCGTATGGATTTAGCACATCCTCATTGTACGGCCAAGGTGTCATTATTCTGATAACAGTGTAAAGAATTTTGTAGAAGGAAGGTACAACAACAACAAACCAAGCCTTATCCCACTAAGTGTGAGAAGAAGGAAGATACCAAACCAAAAAAAAATAAAAATGGCTACGGTAGTATTATTACATACCTCATGTATTCAGGAATTTAAGCATGCCGACTATTTGCAAATGTAATTCAAGATTTAAAGCGCAAAAAAGGGCCACAGATCCATCCACCAAGCTGGTGTACGCTCTCTTCCCATTGCACGAGAATGTTGCATAAGTGATTGATGCTAAAACTCGTCAAACCAGCCGAAACATTCTCCTGGAACCCACTGCAAGAAGAGGGATTTTATTTTCTTTTTTGTTATTGCCATATAGTCAAAACTTGAGTGCTTTGTGAATGTGACAGAAGGATCAGCGAGCTTATCGCGTGCGTGCGTGTTTCGCGGATTAAGATTGATAGAGACCTGCTTTAATCGAGTTCTTTTGCGTCATAAACACCGCGAGCAAAGTATTGTCTACTAACAGAGAGTGTGTCTGGTATCTTCCCATTGCGATGCTTCAACACTGCGCTTTGCTTTCTTTTCCATCCATCAGTTTCCCACATAAAGATCTATAGAATACCAAAAGAAGATGGGGTAAAAGAAACAGTTTTAGTGGATATGGCTAGCCTTAGCCCCGAGCCTCAAACTAGTAACCGCTAAAATTTTGCAAATGCTCTGGGAAATCATCTACGTAGAAACAACAAAGAAAAAGTAACCGCAACTCGGTGCCTGCATTGGCTTATATCGTTACCAACCTTAGCAACTGCTCCAGAAGAAACAAGTACATTCAAGGAGTTGGAAAAAGGCTAGTCCAGAGATACTTTCTTTATGACCCTCAAGCTCGGCTATTGCCTGCACAAGAAAAGCTGTTTTCAAACTTACCAGTGACTACATTGTTATCTTGAGGAGAAGTCATTAGTACCTTATGAGCACGAATGTGATAGATAACGACTGTGGAGTCCTGCAGGCCAAAAGTGACTACATTATTATCTTGAGGACTAAGAGCAAGACATGTTGCTGCTGATGCCGAGGGCATCAACATCTTCATTGTCTGTGATTGATCAGCAAAGTTAGAAAGTGAACACTTTAATTTTGTGAAGCAGCCAGCTAGACAGATAAAGCCAGAATTACTAGGTTAGACTATTACAAAGACGAAAGAAATAGATCCAGATAAGATCCTATCCTAACTCTGAATATGTGTAAACTTTGGCGGTCTATAATAGAAATGGAACCATAGCAGAAAAACTTCAAATAGGTGATTCTCATTGCAGCTAATCTAAGTAACAATTGGTGAAACACTGAAATGTAGAGAATCGGTGTGAACAGGAACGAAATTTTGCCGCGACGCATAAGCATGAGTGAAGTGCCTAGTTTATACAGAAGGCACCTTGAAGGTCATGGTACTGAAACAGGGATCTCATCCCACCTGATGCAGACAGAAGATACAAATTATTTCTTTACAAAGCAAGACACGAGAACATTCTCTTGGGAGGGGTTTTCTCGAGGTGATTCGCCATCAGCTTTAACCCTTCCCTTGGTTGGCATAACTCGGGAAGAATCTTTGTTATTACCTATGTTCGTTTTCTCATAAATAACACTAGCGAGAGCTCTCACTCATTTCCTATTCAAGATTATTTGGAAGCACAACGGGATACGTAACGGATACCTTGCCGCTCGAGTTGAGGTCATTCTTTGCCGTTTCTACAGCAGATTAATGCCATTGGATGCTAATCCTGTAATTGCATTGCCCGCAATTGCACCAGATTCGCCTCGATATCTGCACTAGGACGGAATAGAGCCACAACTTTCTTCTACTGTTTCTAAAAAATTCCATAAACATGCATAAAATAATCTACCAATAACGATCTTAACAAGAATGTCCATATTCTGAAGCATCACGTTGCACCATTCAGTCTAAATAAAGCAGTAGTAGTAGATTACACCCAAACGATCGTAATCAGAACCTGGCTCACAATTCCTTCCCCGTGTATATCCAACTAAACATCGCAGTTTGTTCTGTTAAGTGATACTTTAAATACGTAAGAATGGGACTTACAATCATTTTGCAAGCAGCTTACATACAATGTTGGAGTATGGATTCCAACACAGCAATGATTCTTTTTACACTTAAA